CAGCTCGTGGAGGACGTGGTGAGCGCTCTGTTTCCTACGCGAGGGGAACATCCGCCCCCGCCTATGGCTCCGCCACCTGCGGTGCCGGAAGCGGACAACCAGGACGACGACGACGGCATCCCGGAAGGGACCGGGGTAGACCTGAGAGTGGCGGTACGTAGGCTCAAGGCCAGGAATACCACCCCAGGACCCGATGGTTTGCCTGGCAAAGCCTGGGTCCTGGCCTCGGAGGCTCTCGGGCCCCGACTCTGGAGGGGCTCCTAAGCGCATGCTTGGAGAGAGGCCAATTCCCGCTTCGTTGGAAGACGGGGAAGCTGGTCCTCATTCGGAAGCCGGAGCGCCCTGCGGACTCTCCGTCCGCATACCGGCCCGTGGTGCTGCTCGACGAGGTGGGCAAGCTCTTTGAAAGAGTCATTGCAAACCGCCTCGCCGAGCACCTTGCGGGGACGGGGCCGGATCTTGCGGAACACCAGTTTGGTTTCCGCAAGAGGCGCTCTACGGTGGACGCCATCATGCGCGTGAGAGCCCTCACGACGGGGGATGCAGTGGCCAGGGGGAGGGTTGTTTTGGCGGTGTCTCTCGACATCGCCAACGCCTTCAACTCCATGCCCTGGAGCTGCATTAGGGAGGCACTCCGGTATCACCGGGTGCCGACCTATCTCCGTCGTATAGTCGGGGACTATCTGACGGATAGGGCCATCATCTACCCCGGTCGCAACGGTGAGTGGAACCGGCGAGAGATGTCGTGCGGTGTCCCACAGGGTTCGGTTCTGGGGCCGCCCCTGTGGAACATCGGTTACGACTGGGTGCTGCGCGCCGACCTCCCTACCGGCGTCAGCGTAGTTTGCTACGCTGACGACACGCTGGTACTGGCACAGGGGGGGTCGTACGAGGCGGCGGCGGAAACTATGACACGCGGGGTTGCGATAGTCGTTGAGAGGATCCGGCAGCTGGGTCTTGAGGTGGCTCTGCACAAGTCCGAGGCCATGCACTTCCATGGTCCTTGGAACAGGCCACCACCGGGATCCTCAGCGATGGTAGGAGGGGTATCCATCGGCGTCGAGTCGACGTTGAAGTACCTAGGACTCGTCCTCGACGGCCGATGGAACTTCGTTGAGCACTTCCGACGTTTGGCTCCCAAACTGGAACGGACCGGGGCTGCCTTCAGGCGGCTCCTGCCGAACCTGGGGGGGCCAAACGCCTCCTGCCGGAGGCTCTACGCGGGGATTGTGCGGTCCATGGCCCTTTACGGGGCCCCGGTGTGGGCGCGTGGTTTGGCGCGGCTTGCCGTCTACCACCTGAACGCGCCCCAAAAGGTGGTTGCCGTAAGAATGGTTCGCGGCTACCGCACGATCTCCCGCGAGGCAGCGTGCCTCCTTGCCGGATTGCCGCCATGGGATCTGGAGGCGATAGTCCTCGCGCGCCTGCACGAATGGCGCGCGGAGGCACTATGCCGGGGGGAAACCCCGCTGCCGCGGCAAGTTGTCGTGCAGCGGACAGACTTCCGGCATGATCTCATGGCGACATGGAGAGAGCGACTGTCGCAACCCCGTGCTGGGCACGCCACTATAGCGGCGATAAGACCCCTCTTTGAGGAGTGGCTTGAGAGACGCCACGGCGTCCTCACCTTCCGCCTGACGCAGATCCTCACCGGACACGGTGTGTTCGGGAGGTTCCTGCACCGAATCGGGCGGGAGGAAACGCCCGGGTGCTCCCACTGCGAGGATCGACCGGAGGACACGGTGGAGCACACCGTGGAGGTGTGCCCTGCCTGGGCGGAGCACCGCTGTGTCCTGGTAGCGGCGATAGGCGGCGGCGACCTCTCGCGTCCGGCCCTGGTCGAAGCCATGGTCCGGAGCGAGACGGAATGGGATGCCGTCACCACCTTCTGCGAAGCAGTGATGCTAGCGAAGGAGGTGGCGGAGTGGGAGAAGGAGAGAGCAGCAGCTTTCCTTCCCGGCCGCCGCGGGAGACGCCCCGGGCGTCGGGGGCCACGTCGTGGCCCCCGGCCACCGTAGGCGCGGGCCTGTGGACGGCGAGCAATGGGTAGCTCGCCGTCCGTCCGTCTAACGACGACAGGCCGTGTCGACGGCGCGTTTTGTTCCACGCGCGCCTCAAAGAGCTGTCAGCAGCGTGAAGGGGCCCGCAAGGGCCGACGCCTGCCGGGGCTGCGGGCTGTTCGAAAGAGATACCGCGGCTCCGGAACGTAAGGGCACTGAAGGAACACGGATGGTTTTTAGTCAGTAAAAGTCTGACACTCCCTTCCGCTCCACCCAGAGCGAAAGGCGTCATTTGATGATTTTCCATCCGCAAAAAAAAAAGGGGTCAAATTTTAATGACGGTTATCTCTTCTTTCCGCTTTTCGTAATATGTCTATTAACGACATTGTCAAATGAAATTGGTTCAAATGTCAAGTCAAACAATGACATTTGTATATATTTTATTTATTAAGATTGCTTTAAATTTTGTTATAGAAGCTGTTATTCATTTACAGAATTGTTAAAAAAATAAATATGCATTATAAAATTTGCCAATTAAATGGTGCAAGAAGCGGAAAAAATAACAACAAGAAAAGGCTATTCGTAGCAATATTTTCCTTAGATGATGAAAGGTATATGGTGAGTTTAACTTTAATTGTAATATGATGTTTAACGCGACTACATTTTTGGACTAGCCATCTACATAGGACAGGTTTTAATAGTGTACGATTGTGTGTACAAATATAAACACACAATTTCCTAAATCTGATAGTTCGATTGGATGGCAATCCGAAACCAACTATACTTAGAAACTACATCATCAATTGTGACTGATAACATTCTATTTGTTCAATAAAAATGTGATTTTATTTATATAATTTTTTCAGATGCAAGCAATGGGCGAAACAGCTGACACATGCACTAATTGAAAAAATTCACATGTTAAAACATATTTGTGGCAAACATTGCAAATCCGAAGATTTAGAAATCCAACTAAAACGAACTGTTATTTCATCAGTGGAGTTAATTTAAACTTCCACTATTATGTGTATGTTAATTAGGTTTCATTTACATGTAGCAAAAGATAATATCCCTCTAAAGTCACATATTCGTAAGAATTCGATTATATAACTAAACTTAAAGTTATTTGTAATTACCTGGTTATAAATATTTTTTTATAGATTCATCTACAAACATTAGCAATAATGAGCACTCATTTTGAAAGCGACAATTAGTAAACGATCTCTGTGAGTAGTAAGTACGTAGTTACCTCTGTAAAGAAGCCTACAAATTTGTACATAGTATTTGTTACACTTAAAAGCAATTTAATCCAATTAGTGTTAATAAACCCAATTTTATACCCTTTAAAAAAACTGACCTTGAAAACAAGCATCCAGACGCAGACTATTTATTTTACAGCATAGCAACACTTGTTCAGTGCGGGAACGAATCCTCAGTCCAGCAATGCTGCAGCCAAACGCTTAGCCTCTGCGCTACGGAGTCGTCATTTAGTTTTTACTTAATTTAGTATAATAGTGCGTTTTAATTTCATATTTTTGTACCTAATAACTGTAGAGATATTATTACAAACTTCTGCGTGTAAAATACAATGATTTATTATCCTAATCGGCATTTTTACTCAATCCCCAGGTTAAAAAAAGTATTGCTCATAAATATTTCAGTATAGAGAACGAACTTTTATTATGTAAAATATCGATAAAGGTTATATCGATAAAATTATTCGAGGATAGACATTTACAGCACTATTATAAATTGCCTATGTTGTCAGCACTGTTATAAATTGCCCATGTTGTCAGCACTGTTTCTCAAAAATTAAATATCATGTCTTGACGTTGGTAGAGTAGCTTGGCGCAATGTCATACATTTACTTTTTCTTAGGAAGTCCCGCCTCTTAAACGTAGTGGTTATATTCTCTTTGTCTGTGACCAGGTCAAGGACTAGGGATGCGCAAGGGGAAAAATATATCGATATATATCTAATCGATATTTCTAATCAGTATCGAGATATTTCGCGTGATAAATATCGATATACCGATTTCATTTCGTCATCATTTGCATGATGGTAAAGATAAGGTCCAAAATTGTATATTCCTGACGATTAGACGACGAAAATAAACACGACAACCAAATGTTTTGTCATTAATGCCACATTTTAAAATATATAGAAATTGATACGAATTCGATACTCTAAATTAAATATCGATATATCGCGATTTAAAATATCGACGATATATATCGATATATTTATTTAAATTTTTTATATATCGATATTTTTAGCCCAAGCCTAACCAGGACAGGAGCAGGACATAAGACATTGTAACTTCAGGCTCAGAAGGGCTAGAACCCAGAGCCGTAAAGCCAGTTTAAAAAAAAGACATAAGACATTTATTTATCTATGGACCAGGAACCAGGATCAGGATTCAGGATTCCAGTGTTTGTTTGTTGTACAATTCAGTAAATTTAATTTAATGGGGTTGTTATAGACTGACCTGATCTATTAATTACCTTAAATTTAATTTATTTGCTTTGCTATTATTGTTATTTCAAACAGTACATGTTATAGTATTAAACTGGGATTTGTAGAAATAATTTATGTTCCATTTCTACAACCAACTTCATAATAGTTCGTGTTGTGTGTTTTGCTACTGACATTATTGCAAAGAGCACAGTTATTGCACAGGACGCTAGCATACTCTCGTTAAAGTAAGTGTCCAATTTGAAGGGTATAAACCTACCTACTAAATCCTTGCTAATATAACTTATGAATTCTTAGCATCAACTACTACTTTATAATGAGAGCTAATGTTGCGTTCAGTTCCACGCATATCCCACAAGCACAAATAGTGTGCGCGCACATTCATGGGGTTTTGATAGTATTATCTCAATTCTGTGGATATTAAAGTTTATAAGTTGTTTATATATTTAATTTTCAGTATGTATTAATATATTAATACCCATATAATATAGTCCCTAAAATAAAATACACTTGGTGTAAACCAGAATGTCTTTTGATGTAACTTGGAGTATAGAAAAATACAGAGATGATCATGAAAGTGAAGAACATTGGGAACTACGAAAAGCCTTTATGGAGCGTTGGAAGCATGATTTTCCAGAAGAAAGACTGGTTTGTTTGGCTAGGGTCTTTGCGAACATTGAGTTTATGGGATGTAGATACCCAGTACAGCTTATGCAAGAAGTTTCGAGGCTTTCAAAAGACGTAAGTCTAAAATTAAAAGTAAACCATTCTATAATATTTTGTATGGATTAAACTTTATTTTTATAGTATTGAAATTATGTTATAAGGTTTTTAAAATATTATAAAGTAAATAATATTTAATTAATTGATAGATTTTAAAAGTTTATTTATGCACATTTTTTTATTAGGTAGCTATAGATTACAGGACATTGAAAAAGAACAAATTACAAAGAACATTTGTATCAGCATCTACAGCTGCAGAAGACCGTGCTAAAGGAGTAAAAAGAGAAGGAGGAGTACTAATAGATAGTCCACCGCATAAAACTAGTAAAATTAATTTTGTTCCACAAGGACAAATTGAATCCAAAGAATCTGAAATTGTTGATGATGACATACAGATAGTAAATGAAACTGACACTAATAAATCAAATTTACCTACAGACAAGAAATGCTCAGAAATAGTTGATGTAAATGACTATTTAAAAGAAATGGCAGAAGTTAAATGTCTAAATATTACAAGATTTAATGAAGGAATGTTTGAGACAGCTTTTGGTAAAATGGTATTATTAATAAGACCTTGGACGAACAAAATCTCAAACATTCAAGGTGAGTAAATTAATAAATGGACATAGGATAATAGACTAATAGAATAATATCATTACCAGAGATTACCGCTGTACCAGATGCCTCATATGTTTGACATTGCTACCGTTTGCTGGTCAGAGCCCTCTCCCCCCACTCTCCCTACCCCTCCTGCCAAACCATTCTAAATTTGTACGGTTTGTTTTAATCTTTAGCAAGTAGTTCTACATTTATATTAGTGATTGGAAAGATATTGATAGTAATTTATCTGGCAAGGAGAACATACTATACATGTATACCAGCACCTTGCAAACCAACCAGCTTATCCTCTTTAATACTCTATAAACTGTAGTACTGCCTCATGCTTTGTTACAGTTAATTTTCATTAAAATCTTCCAAAAGCTTGCTGCTAAACATATAATATATACCCATAGATTGCCTCATAGGGGGGGGGGGGATATTTGCCATAGTTGCATGCTCTAGCTGGTTTTTTAATTTGGAGTTTAACTGGGGTTATAAATATCAGATGATTGATAGTATCACAAGTTGCCCAAGTAGATAAGAAACTTGATATCATTAAATCTGCCCTTTGATAAAGTGAACTGTTGACAACAATACATGAGTCAAGCGAGCGAAGCAAGCGTACCACAGTGGTGTTCAGTGAAGCGCCAGGAGAAGAATTTTATGGCCTTTCTTATTGTTCTGTAACTTCTTTCACTAGGTTTGGTTGAAATTATTGCAAGGCGACAATTGTTCCCCCTCTCAACCCTCCCTCAACGTTATTAAAATGTCAAATTTAGTTTTTAAAGTATTATTCTGAAACTGATTTTTAATATTAAATTTTCAAAATACAAAAAATACTTTGTTTACACGAAAGGCACATGAGTAAAGAAACTGACCAGAGACGAAGCTTCTAACGAGCTGTCAAAATATTTACCTATTTTGGTAAGGTGAGGGTACAGGATTAAAACATTAAATAAACAAAATATCTATCAGCTTTTTATTGTGTACCTACCTATGATAGAATAGATAATATAATAAAAATTAAAATATTTGTTTTCAACAAATTTAGCAACAAATCTACATCATTATACATAAAAAATAAAAATCAAGTATGATTACCAAGTGTAGTCTTTGGGATAATTAAAAAATGGTATATTTTAGTTAACTTTATTTGCTTTTAACAAGTTACAATATTATTGCATAAACTATTAATAATATAATGATTATTAAACAATAATAGAACGAATATATACATTTGTTCCATTATTGTTCATACACACGGAACAGTAAACCATATTCACAATTTTTGCTGTTATAACATTCAGCAGTGGAAGGCTTGTGAAGGGCTGTAATGATGATGATGATGACTATTATTCTTTATACAATTCCTATTATTAAATCAAAATGTAAAACAAAAACAAACACGATGTGCGACACACCACCCCGAGTTTGAGCACTGGCCAAGCCAGTTTAAAACAGTTTCCCTCTGTACACGACGAGCCACCAGACATGCACCTTAAGCTTGTAGTACCTATCAAAGTGCGGTTTTGTGAAGCTTTGCCTCTTGTTGGTTTCTTTATTAATGTGTGGAGGGGGAGGGTTCCCTCCGTACCACAGGTTATTAAAGCAACCAACTACATCAGCTTCATTGCAACCCATTAACTGCAGGTAGTTGTAGAGTCAGGATGCAATATAAATATATTTTTTATCCATAGAAGGTATTTTTTTACAGCAAGTTGTAGTGTATGTCATGTGCCAGTGCTTAGCAAATATGAAAATAATTGTTTTACATTTTTTATGAATGGAAAGCTTGTGGCAAAAGCCACTGGTACAAGCAAAGCTGAAGCCAGAAGCATTGTAGAGACAATAGCTTGGAATGTAAGTAAAGTTTTGTCTTTTATATTGTAAATTACCAGGCCATTATAATCCACTGTTGGACGTCAAGTTGAGTCCTATTGCAAGAGAGGATTTGCGATAATGTCCTCTAGACCAAATTTTGATCATAAGTCATCTGAGTAGGGCAGAATTATAGTGTGCACATGTGTGCGCAAGCACAGGTGCACTCTACTTCCTCACTTTTTTAGTCCTTTGGGATGTCAATCCGATTTGATAAGAGAGAGATCAGGCGCAGGACCAACGGTTTTAGGTGCTTTCTAGTGAAACACCGCTAAATTCTTGACTCCAGGTTGCAACTTTAATTTATTACAATGGGATTTCATGGGTTTTAATAATTTTGTGCGGTACCCTAATTCTTTTTCTAAAATAAAAGTTGACTAAATTACTCCTTATAAAATCAGCTATCTGCCAGTTAAAGTCCCGTCAAAATCGGTCCAGGCATTTCAGAGATAAGCCGAAACAAACACACAGGCAGACAAATATTTTAAAATTGTTTTTCTGCTATAAGTACCATATACATGGTAGAGCCATGCTGCAATGTAATAAATGTGTGCAGACAAATCTATTTGGGTCTTGTCAGCGTCTTAAAAAACTCAATTATTCAAATTTATGACTTGAAATTGGAATGACTATTAGGTGAAATGATTGACTTGTCAATAATAAACTAAATGAAAGTAATATACTTTTTAGAAATTGCGAGAGGAAGTTGTAACTGTCTTAGTTAAGGAACAATGGATAGCACACGGCGAGCGAATCTCATTGAGTGATGTGGCTGGACGCAAACAAAGTGAAGCTATCTTTGGCACACCCATTTCAAACAGCATTGCTACAAAGTATGTCTTTATTTTAAATTTTTTGTTATAACAATTTGAAATAGGTTATACTGACATTATAATATGTTCAGCAGTGGACTTGTGAAGGGCTGTAATGATGATAATGATGATGATGATACTGAAATTGCTTACTTCGGTCACTCCTCACTGACCCAGGTATTTAAAAGCAAATTGTATAAGATACAGTTTTTTTTTTTGATAAATTTATAATAATACTCACTAATTTTATCTTGGATGATCTACAATAGTAATTAAATAAATAACATATTCAGTGTAAACTTTCTATAGTGAACTCTTATTTAACGAAAAACTCTCTAAAACCACAGAATAAATAATAGTTTAAAGAACAGAAGACTCACTCTCTGATTGCAAAAGGAGTTACTACATATCACAATAAAAATACCCAGTCCCTTGAGCACCACTATGTAGAGTTTAAATTGTATTTTCAAAAGTGAGATACTGATTCGTAAATAATTCAAAATGAAGTACTTTAATTTAAAACATTAGATATTTTTATATCATCCCTAAAATTAATTATGACTTTAAAATGTTTATTGAACTATCTAGAACTATTTACTTATTATAACATTACAGAATGATGCAAATGATGGGATGGAAGGGTGGTGGCTTAGGAGTGGATGCGCAGGGTATCGCTGAACCAATTAAACCTAATTTACAAATGGTATGTACATGTGATTTAATACAGTGTTGATAATATGTGGATATCTTTTAAAGCTAAGCTTTTAATTAAGCTATTTATCGGCATGGTTAAGGTGATAAAAAAGAAAAAGTGTTACTTTTTAATAAGCTTTCATTGTAATCTTGATTTCTGGATCACAAATATTCTAGTTTATAATGGTTGCTATAAGAATGATATACATAATATACTATTGGAGTCATAATAAAGGCTAAGTACTTGTTTTGAGCGACATTGTGAACTTAACAGCAATATTACTTACAATCTTGTAAAAATTTTTTTTTTAAAAGACGGCAACTTCTTTGTTCCTTAAAAAAATACGTCACATTTTAGACACCAATTAAATTAAAGCTTATATAAAATAACAACATCTTCACACCTTTCTAATTTTTCGGTCCTACGCTGTGCGCAAACACATTTTGAAGGAGTGAGTTAGCACATCGGCGCAGTTAGCGTAATTGCGCGGCGCAGCGCACTAATTTGCGTATTTCTCTTCTTCGAGATGGTTCTTGAGGTCCATTCATGAAGATTTACGATTTCTTAACGCTTGACTCATCAGAAAATGATCATTCCATGTTTCGGTACATGGCTTTCTTGCAGAAGAAGGCCTTCTTTTGACGAAATCAGTCCACGAAACATCGTCTGCAACCCTTCTCAAGCAGCGCAATTATTTTGCTGTCTTTTATTACTTTATCTACCATTTTCGAGACCGCTAAATAGCAATAATATTACATTAAAATATCAATGAAAGGAGATAATTCAATAAAAATTAACTAAAAGTTATTAAGAGTCGATATCCACTTTCAGGAATTCGTGCCACAAAATGTAATAAATATTTGTTTTCTATAACAAATAGCCTCGGTCAAAAATTTTAATTTGGACCACCACGGGACTTTTATAACTGGCCAGTAACATGTTCAAATGATCAAAACCTTTTTTAATATTGTATATTTTTCAGGCAGGAAAAAATCAAAACCGAAAAATTACAGTATTTTTGCAAATTATTTTATTATGAATTATGTACTTAAAACAGTTATCATTAGATTATAAAATCACCGTTTCGTCTCTAAAACAATTCACGAAGATAAAATAAAAACATAGCTAAAGTTATTTTTTACTTTAGGTAAATCGAGCTGGCCTGGGCAGTGATACTACTGATGTTGGGCAACTAAGGCGAGCTGCACAAGAGCTAATGCGTCGATACATCGCGTCTGATACATTCGACCTTGATTTAGTATTTAGCAGTGACTTCAGTAAGGAAGAGCGTGCCATCTTACATCAGTGTGCTCAGAAATTGGGATTGGCGTCGAAAAGTTACGGAAACAAAGATATAGACAGGTTTGTTTATCAAATTATATCTGGTTAAAAAGACCAACTTGCGTTATAGAAAGAATAGATAAAAGAAGAATAGGTTTTGCCCAATTTCTATTATATATAGATATTAGAAAAACAGACAATATTTTTAATATGGAGCATTTTTCATGCGCCTGACACTTTATTTTTGTAAAATAAGGGTGACAAACAAGCTCACAATCCACCTGATGGTAAGTGGATGCTGTGGCGCATAGACATCTACATTTATCCTCAATTAAGAATTAAAATGGAGATGCGTTGTCACCCCCTGATAACAGGTGGAATTCCTCGTTTCCAGTAAAAAGGCTTTCCGGTTCTATACAATCACCATACGAAACAGACGCATTCAGCTGCTATTTTACGCTGGTATTCTGTCATAACGTGGTCCTACCCCGGTCGAGCCGACCCGTTCGTCCTGCAACCATAATTTAGCTACAGCGTAGCTCTACCACGTATAAAACTTGCCACGTCTTTCGTTATTCTATGCATCATGTGTATATGTTTATAAATTCAAAGTAGGAAAGAAAATAACGTTCCATTATTTAAATCAAAATCTCAAAATAGTGTTCGATGATTGATGATGTTGACGACCTAGATTAAATCCATCACCCTATATCATCCCGTGGGCTTCATAAGAGGCAACTATAGCAAAAAACTAAAAAAATCTTAAGGCTTCCGATACTACCGACTCTTAGTGGTATAAATACGCTCGTTAGTTCGAGGGCTGCTAGGCTGTTAATACGAGGGCGGCACTGAAAATTTCGGGAATCAAGGAAGTGACAAAACATTACTATTTAAAAATGTATTTATTGCTTTTCGAAGTGTTCTCCGCGAAATTTGACACATTTTTCCATACGATGGAACCAATCATTGAAGCAACCATTCCATTCGGAAGTTGGGGTCTCCAATGGCCGTTTTGTAGGCATCCACAGCTTCTTCAGGTGATGAAAATCTCTGTCCATGCTCTTTATTTTAGGGAAAGTATAGAAATCATTAGGGCTTAGGTCTCCTCTCAGCAACACCAATGCTCCTTGCCTGCATTAGAAGAATTACAACAACGAACAGAACCACGACACTGTCTTAGCACTAGTAGAATGACCACACTCGTTGAATGACTTCAGTGGAATCTCTCGCGCACGGCACCTACAGTGAACTTTATACTGCACAAACAAGCGGGGGTTTCTCACCTCGATCCAACCGGGTATTTTATAGACGCTCCGACATATATAAAATTAGTTTTAAGTATTATTTTTCTATTATTTTTCAAATAAAAATGTATTTTAATAAAAGCCACAAAAAAAACATTTTTGGGATATCAAATGACTTAAGTCATTTTTTTTTTGGAGTTTATGGCTTGGTATGTAGACCTTTAGGCCAACTTCAGTCATTTTACTTTATTCAAGTGTTGCCATTTACTATATTCATACTATTTCCGGGTACGACTTTCCATTGACGTCAGTCGAGTTTGGTGTTGATACGTATTTTTACAGAAAGATTACATTTTTCTAAGCACACACACAAAGTTTCAATATGCGGAAACACGTACTTATTGAGAAAAAAATATTGTAAATCAAATAATTTTGCAATATTTAGTCAATTCCTACCGTGAAACTGACGCCATTTTTATTATTATTGTCAGTAGGGATGTCGATTCTTTCCGAAAAAGATCGATTTTTTAAATAGATTCGAATTGTAAGCTGATGTATCGATTCCCAAAAAATCGATTTCTAAAATATCGATATTTTTTTCATGTTTGCATTTATAATGTAAATATAAATCCATTTTATGAGAAAAAAATCCCCTTTATCATAAAAAAATAAGGGGACTGATTCAGAAGGATTTCTGTGTGTCTTTCTATTTTGAGACTGCTACGTCTCCGGCGCTGCGGGAAGTGCAGCCTCTACGCCTTAGCGTAACAAATCGTAGGCATCGGACGAGCCGGAGCGGCTGAGGCTGCTCCCCCTACGCGCCTCCGGCTCTATAAAACCACTCTAGGGGTAGGACAGACTCGTACCAGGTGGAGTCGGGGTCAATCAATTCGGTTCTTTGACATAAGTTGAACCTAACCTATTTTATTTGTTATCTGCCCTAATAGGTACTGTTAAATAAAACAAATTTCAATAAGAGATCATTTATCATGGTATCTTTCTTGTTTTTCATAAAATGGGTTCATATTTACATTATAAATAGAAACATTAAAAAAATATAGATATTTTAGAAATCGATTTTTTGTGAACCGATACATCAGCTTACGATTTGAATCGATTTAAAAATCGACCTTTTTCGGAAAGAATCGACATCCCTATTGACGTCGACAATGACATTACAAAATGGCGCCAGTTTTATCGTAGGATTAGACATAAACATTGCAAGAATAATTGATTTTCAATAATTCTTTTCTCAAAAATTACGCGTTTCCGCATGTTGAAACTTTGTGTGTGTGCTTATAATAGTGTAACTTTTCTGTAAAAATACGTGTCAACACCAAACTCGACTGACGTCAATGGAAAGCTAAGCTGAGTTTCGTATACACTTTGTAAGACTACCAACACAACACACAAACACAAAATATTTTTATATTAAGTTATTATTGGTAATAACTATACTATCAGTAATATTAATAATAAAAGTGATATGGTTGTAAAGAAGTCACAAAGAACTTCCTACAATAATACATTATCTCAATCATAGTAATATGTAACAATTCCATTTAATGTATTATGCAACACTAGCTAAAACAAAATGTCAATGTTTTTTTTTTACTATCTCTACGGCTCTGGGTTCTAGCCCTTCTGAGAATGTCACTGTATGACACAAAGGCCCTAGAGCCATGCCAGAAATATACATTTATAGTATGCAAATATATAATAGAGATACAATAATCTAAAAACTCGCAATTATGTAGGTAGGGCACATTATGTTGAGAATGTATTAAGCTAACATCAAACAAGACATAACCTAAAAAGGTTCAAATCTAAATATCTTTTTTTTGACGCCTTCTCAGAACAAAATTCTTATACAGAGTTAATAAGGGAGTGACGCTTAACGTTTTAAGATATTTTTGATATATAGACGCTACCATTCATTCTCAACTAATTTTATGTATGAAAGTCTGCCATTGTTCTTTGTAATGACCAGAAGCCTTAAGTTTAACCCTATGAGTTATGAGCTTCAAAATGACTGAACATAGTCTGATTAAACTGAATTGAATTTCCGATAGATAACGGTATAGGACAGCACATCCATATGAGTAGCAATTTTGGTAAATACTTCTTACATGGGGAATGCCAATGTTTAGCAGTAGACTTTTTAGGGACTGACAAAGAAAAACAATATTTTTTCTATGTATTGTTTTTATTATGTACTAGCGACCTGCCCCGGCTTCTGTCGCCTGGGTGAGATCTATTAATGTGGTGTAACTTTGATTTAAAATAAAGATTATTTATTTTATAAATTTTTAGATTTTTTAAAAAAAAGTTCTTGTTAATCGGATAAAATATAGCCTAGATCACTCCTGGTGTTGCTCTCTATCTGTTCATGAAGTTCCATTACAATTGGTTTAGCCATTTCGATTTCGTTATGTTAAACCTACCCAATTAAAGTCACATTAAATTTAAGTGTGTTTGGTAAATGTAGATTCATTTTTTTGTTACAGATTTTTGGTAGTGAGGAAGAAATTGGACCCATTCTCTCTGGTGCGGGCAGTGGTGCAGAAAGGTGGTGTTACTCCAAAATATCAAGTATATTTACCGATTGGTCTTGATAGACGAAGACGAAGATGAAAATACAAAAAGTATTTAAAAATAAGTAAACGATTATTATTTTCCTTTTGTTGTTTTTTTATAACGACGGAAATGACAAACCTGTACCTAACAAAACATAACCCGTGGCCTTGTATCCAAAATTGATATAATTAAAAAAAAAAGAAATAATCGTAAGAATAATTCCACCTGTTAATCCGACTTTTTTTCTCTTTCGCTTTAAAACTGATATTTTGTATATGCATTTTAATATTTATACCGTGTTATTTTATTTTTGTATACGAGTACCCGTTTATATATTTATTATTTATTCTTCATTATATTGTAGATGTTAATAGTGTATATTATACTAACTATTCTTTTTATTTGCATTTGATCGTACTGAAGTGTTATTTTGATAAAGTGAATTTTTTACACTTGCCACAGTTTCTCAAATCATCCAGGGTTGACTGGTAGAGAATGTCATAAGGCAGGGAATACCAAAGTGGTCGATATCGACCCGGTTGAATACTATATCCCAGGGGTCGTCATAAACGAAAACAGATTTTTCTAAAAATTGCCCTCTATTAATTAACACAAGTTTTTATTTTTTATGTTTACTTTGCGATTTAAAGTATTTTCCAAAAAATAATTATCTAAAGTATATTTACGTAATTTGTATTAATAATTATTAATTACACTTGATATTTACTGAATTTTATGTCTATTTATTTTGTTAAATTTTGATGAGAAAATGATGTCAAGTTTACTCACTAAACCAACCGCAAAGTTTTTACATTGGTAAGTATTTTGTATCAATAGGAAAAAAGACTACAGATAAGATTTTTAAAGTAATTTGCTATGGGGGTCTGTGGTATCATTTTATTTTGGAAAAGGGATCTCTTGTCCGAAATAGTTTGGGTATCCCAGCCATAAAGCATTAAATCCGCCCTTTAAATCTCTTTAAAAAGACTAGCTGTTCCCCGCGACTTCGCCCGCGTGTAATTTAGGGTTTTAATTATGTTGAGCGGAACCCTAACTCTTTCTAAAATATAAGTAGCCTAAGTTAGGGTTTTAATTATGTTGAGCGGAACCCTAACTGTTTTTCTAAAATATAAGTAGCCTAAGTTCTTATAACTTCAGCTATCTGCCAGTGAAAGTCCCGTCGAAATCAGTCTAGCCGTTTTGGAGGTTACCCGGAACAAACAGAGAGACAGAAAAAAATGTTAAAACTTGTGTTTTTGTTATAAGTACCGTATATACTTTCATATGCATTTAGTAAAAAACTGTTAGTTTGACATTACAAACAGACACTTCAATTTTATTTATTTGTTATTTACTATAATTAATTATTTGCATAATAAAGATTTAATAAATAAAAGAATAAGCCCTAACGGACTTAACATAAACCAATTAATAAAAATAAAAGTACATAATAAAAAAAAGCATTAACATAACCAAAGTCGATGACGAGTCTAGCGCAAGATGAAGGGTTGACCTGAGGGGGCCACTCGTAGCCGAGGTGGAGTGACGAGGGGGAATGTTGGCACATGAGCAGATAAACGGAACGGAGACAAAGCTGAGGCCGGTCCTTAAGAAATGCGCAAATAGGCAGTTACGGTTTTAAAAATATTAAAGAACAGACTTCATTGAATGACACCACAAAAAAATCTCAATTAGTTAATAGATGGGTCTACAGTTTCACCGTGTGATATTTATAAAAAACATCTTGATTTTCGAGAAAAAAATCTTCAATAATACACTTAACACACTTAAAACACTGAAAACGGCCTTTTCTATTTTAAATCTCTAGGCCATTTCGTTATTATTTTAGAAAATCTTTTTGGTTAAAACGTGAGATAAAAGTATAGACAATACATTCACCATTCATTATTTTTACTAATTCAAACCAAAAAGCAACAATCTAAGCCTAAATATCATAATGTCATTCATTTTTTAACAGAAATCGTCTATACATTTTAGTATGAAACGGTTAGGTTTCCGTAGTTCGCTTTATATTAGAGAACACGCGTGAAAAAAATTCAGTGCAAAGATTCAGTGCCGCCTCAATTTTCGAGGTGAGAGCACGTCCGTTTGTAGCCCGATTTGACAAGTCGAGTTGATACATCTATTGTTTGACATAGCATAAGGGTGTGTTATGTACACATAAGACCTGGCAAACACTCACCTGGGTAATTTCTGAGCTGCCCGACGTTTACCGGGCCCGGTGTGATGTATCTTCTGGCCAAATGTGTCCACTATTGTTCTTTTATCCACAGGTCAGGTATGGAAAACTGCCTTAGTATTCGATGGAGCAGGGGAATGAGATCTTATCTACTCTTGGTAACGAAACGCGCACGTAATGTGTACCGTCAAAAGCGTTAGTGCTTGCGTTGACGAGGAAGTTGGCCGTTTCTAGCGGTCATTGCGGGTGTAGTTGAAAAAAGGGTTACTTGCTTCAAAGTTAAAGAGTGCTTGCCAGTAAGAAAAAATATTTATTCAAAATGTTATGCGTAAGACGAAATGTTTTCCTTTCAAATTGCACTATTTCTAGTTATAAAATTATACCGAAACATTAATGAAAAAAAAAGAAAAAGATATCAAATACGGAAAATGCCGCTCACCTTAAAAGTACGCAGTATCTTTTAATTAAATCTAAACAAATCTGTAATACAAACTAGCCCTTGATAACAAAATATGTAAGGAGTATAAACAAAGTTAAATCTAGTAAATATCAAACTCTATCTTAAGATTACTGATAAATATTTAAATTTATTTCTAAAAAAAGTAAAATAAGGAATATGAATCATTAGTTACGTTTATTATTCTATAGGAAGTGGACAAATTTTATTAACTGGTCGCTTAAAATATGTTTTCCCAATTTGGAGAGTTACAACTGCGTTGCGTCTGGTGAGTGCAGGTGGCTGGAGGCCCAATTCCCCCCCCCCCCCCCCCCCCTGGCAAACTGAGTAACAAGACCATGGCGACCCCTGCCACGTTATCCGTGAATTTCTGCAACATCAGGGGACTTCACTCGAATCTAAACGCCGTCCACTACCATCTCGAGACGGCGAAGCCGGCCTTGCTCTTTCTGACCGAGACGCAGGTTTCCTCTCCGGCTGATATTTCGTATCTCTCCTGCCCGGGGTACAAATTGGAGTACTCCTTTGTGCCTCGGGCTGGAGTTTGCGTGTATGTCAGAGAACACGAACAACGAGAACAGATGTCCATCTGTTCTCGACGCCTCGGCAGTCTTGAAGGTTCGGACCTGTCCATCCTATGGCTACGCGTAGACAGCGACGACCATCCGCGCGTCTACAGGTGCCTCTATAGGTCCCATAGCGGTAATGCCGAAACAGACCGACTTATTGACTACGTCCAAATGGCTACAGATTCCTTGTTACAACAGGTCCCATCCGCAGAGATCGTGATCCTTGGCGATTTTAAGGCCCACCACGCCGAATGGCTCGGGTCACGTTTAACCGATCATGCGAGGAGATCTGTTTATGACTTTGCTTTGGCATATGGTCTCACACAACTGGTTACTTCGCCTACGCGGATTCCAGATGTGGAGGATCATACACCTTCCCTGTTGGACCTTCTGCTGACCTCATCCAGACGGATATCAGGTTTCCGTCGATGCCCCTCCGAGCTCTTCGGACTATTGCCTGATCCGGAGTGTGGTGCCACTCACGCTCTCTTCGCGGTTGCGTTCTGCAGGTTGCCGCCGTGTTTGGCATTACAGGTCGGCGGATTGGGATGGAATGCGGTCTTTCTTTGCATCCTACCCATGGGGGCGGGTTTGCTTCTCGCCGGATGATCCCAGCGCTGTTGCTGACACTGTCACTGATGTGGTGCTACAGGGAATGGAACTATTTATTCCATCATCTGTGGTACCCATCGGAGGCAGATCTCAGCTTTGGTTTGGTCGCTCCTGTAAGACTGCATTACGCAGTAAGCAGGAGTGTTATCAAGCCTGGGCTGCGGCTTCGGCGACTCGGGATGTAAACACTAGCACACTTAAAAAGAAGTATAACTTCCCTCCAGGTCCTTCAAAAGAGTTATTGCCAAGGCAAAGTCAGAGCACGTAGGCAGAATTGGCGAGAAACTAGTTCGCTTTCCTTCGGGAACCCGTGCATTCTGGTCTCTCGCCAAGGCTGTCCAAGGGAATTTCTGTAAGCCATCACTACCATCTCTGCACAGGGAGGACGACTCACTGAGCCAAGACGCAAAAGACAAAGCCGACCTTTTAGGCTCCCTTTTTACGTCCAACTCGACTCTTGATGACGGGGGGAAAACACCGCCGACCATCCCGCGGTGTGAGTGCTCCATGCCGGATATGCTGTTCTCACAGCGCTCGGTTCGCAAAGCACTCCTCTCCCTGGACATCCAGAAGTCGAGTTGGCCTGACGGAATCCCCCCAATTGTGCTGAGGACGTGTGCTCCGGAGTTGGCACCGGTCCTAACGCGTCTTTTCCGGTACTCCTACTCCCAAGGCGTAGTCCCGAATTCATGGAAGACAGCTTTTGTCCACCCGATCCCTAAAAAAGGCGACCGCTCAGACCCGTCCAACTATAGGCCTATCGCGATCACCTCCTTGTTCTCCAAAATAATAAAATAATAAAATAAAAATAAAAAAATAAAAAAAATAAAAAAGCCTTTTATTTCTTACAAACAAATAAAACAGTTACTAATAGTGAATTGACTTATTACTACTACTACTACAAACTAATGTTTATTATATAACCTATGATTATATCTTTTTTGTATTTTGTATTTTGTATGTCTATCTATCTATGATTGTAGTAACTAATTATTTTTCTAGATAAGTTTGGTTTGCAAGAACCCCTCCTTGGGTGAAGGTCTCCTCCAAAGAATCCCAATGGTCTCTGTCTTTGGCTATTTGTAACCAATTTGGGCCCACTATCTTTATGATGTCGTCTTACCATCTCGCATGGGGTCTTCCTCTGTAGCGTTTCCCTGATGGGCCATTCCATGAAGTAATTTTTTTGGTCCATCTCTCATCTTGCAATCGCGCTACA